TACACCATTATAATTTATAACTTTTACTTCTAAGAAATTAATACAGTTATTATTTTGAATCTCTATTGTGAACTGTAATCTATCATTATAATTATTGAATTCATTTAATAATGATGGTAAACTATCAATAGGAGCCGTCATAAGTATATCATCTACATATCTTAAAAAGAAGGAAGGCTTGAATTTTAATTTTTTTAAAACTGAGTTTTCTAAATCTTCCATTACAATGTTAGCAATTATTGGAGATAAAGGAGAACCCATAGGCATTCCGAAGGTTTGTCTGTAAATTTTGTTATCAAACAAGAAATAGGTTGAGGTTAGTGTATAATTTATTGCCTCTAAAAATTCATTAAGAGGGATTTTTGTATTACCTCTGATATGTTTCCACCTAATTTTTATACTCTTTAAGGCAAGATCAATCCGAACATTAGTGAATAAAGAGACTACATCTAATGACACGAGAATGTGCCCCTGTTGCAATGACAAATCTCTCAGCTTGTTAACAAGTTCAAAACTGTTTCCAATATAGCTCTTAGGGAAAGGTATGCTTTTAAAAATCACTTTATGTAAATACTCGGCAAATTGATGTAATGGGCTATTAATAGAAGATACAATTAATCTGAACGAATTATTATTTTTATGTATCTTAGGTATTCCATAGGCACGAGGCAACAGACCATCACTAGATCTAATAGATTTATAGGTCAAATCAGAAATATATTCTTTTTTTACCCAAGTCCTTAATAATTTATTAAGAAATTCTTCGATGTTTTTTACCGGGTTTTTATTGAAATTCCAATGTAGTCTCAGTGGTTACGGAACATCGATTGGAAACTAATCATGATTTTTTGTGGAAAGATGTTAAAATATTAGATAATGAAAAATTCTTTCATAAAAGATTGATTTCCGAAATGCTACATATTCAGTTGCAAGAAAATTCGATTAATGTTATGTCAGATACAGACAAGCTTAAACCATACTTTTCTTTCTTAGAAATGTTCAAAACAAAGTTATAATCGCGTTGGCTTGGCTTTGTATTATGATCAACATGTTTGTTTTTTGAAGGTCTTTGCAAATAATAGTGTATTTATAGAGGGGATATACATATATATATTTGTTTGTAAAGATTACATGCCAGTACACAGTTTCTGATTATTGAGTTTACAACATCTCTTTTGTGTTTAAAGATGCTGTGCGAACTGCGTGTATTCTAATTTTAAGTGAGTGAATTGTTAAGTTTATTTTTATTATTGTGTGCGCTAATTAATTCTATTTTACTAGATCTCTTTGTATCATTCACACTGAAGAAGGTCCAAACCTTGGGACCGAAACGTTTGTGACATTTTAATAAATCCATTGATTATACACGTCCATCTTGTAATTATTGCTCGTATCGGCCTTTCATTTTAATTGATTATTAAATAGTATGACGTTTTCCAGTTCGTAGAGACAGAAAATGTCTATACGTAATGCATGGTAAGAAACGGAAGAGCCAATTAGCANTTCGCTCTTATCGAAAAGCAGCATATTGATTGGCTGTCGCGTCGCTTTTAGCCGCGCGTCCCGCGATGCGTTGACGCATCTTTTTTACAGGAATTGTTGTTATATATTGTCTGTATTGAAAATCACAGAAAATATATAATGTNAAAGTTATAAGCAATTCAACTAATTCTCCACCAATATCTTACATTAGCTACAATGCTGGTCTGTGATTGGTTGGTTTGCTACTAATCTTATAACTAAAATTGTGTCATGTGATCGACAGTCAATTGTTTCAAGAGTCACAGCCAGAAAGGTAACGAACAGGAAAGGTGACNAAATATGTCACGTAAGTATATATTTTATCCAAGGATATATATTATTATATATAATAAATATAATAATTTCTGTTCTGTTTTTAGAAAACAGTGATACAACCGAGGCAGCTATCGCGGACCGGTCGCAATCGAACTCGGTCCGCGATGGACAACCATCTACAGACAGATCACTGGAAGCGGGACAAAGATTAGGTTACCGCAAGAATAAAACAGTAAGTAACATATAATTTCTATCTAGTTTT